TTTAGTAGTGTGGAGAAGAGGGAGGAAGGAGGGGAAGTGGGTAAGTAAAAGCTGGTTTTCCAGCCCCTAGACCTAAAATAGAGTAGCCTGTGGGAGAAGAAAATTGGGTAAGTAAAAGTGGTTTTCCAGCCCCTACACCTAAAATTGAGCATTTCACACCTGCAGTGCGGTCATAGCCCACAGCAGGGATCCTTTTAATTTTCCAGCTTTAAAGGATATTTGGACAAATTTTATTTGGCAAAAAATAATAAATACACATTTTTTTGGCATGTAAAAAATGTGCATTTATTATTTTTTGTTGCAGGAGCCTGTAAAGCATTGCACCAGCAATCAGCAGATCACTGGTGCCATGCAGGTCTCCTGAGGACCTGTCAGTATATATGCTTGCCCGTGCAGGATGTACGGGCAAGCAGAAATACTCACAAGAAGCATCGATGAAACTACCACAGCACTCCACAGCACTGTGGTCAGGGGTGGACTGACCATTTGGAAACTTGGGCGCTGCCCGAGGGCCCGGGGTTAGTAGGGGGCCCCATGAGATGCCCCTGGTACCTTTTTATAGGCTTTTTTGAGTTTGGGCAAGGACACATGGGGCCCCATGATCCCCTATTACCCGGGGGGCCCCATGAGTTGTCAGTCCGCCCCTGGCTGTGGTAGTTCATTGAGGACAACAAGCCCTGACAGCCGCTAAGGCTGTGAATGAATGACGCGGCTGTGTGGGAGGAGTGCCACACGGCCACACTGTTTTTTTAAAAAGTGATAGCTAGTATGGGGACCTTCTTTCCGTACTGCTGTCATGGGTGGGAAGGGGGATCGGACAGCAGCTGCAGCACTGGGAACATGTTAAATGTTCCACCTTAAAAACAGGCAGAACATGTTACATGTTCCCAAAGGTGACCTATAAATCAAGGGTATGTGAAGTTAGATGGTAAGTTAAAGTAGGTATAAACTCAATCATTACAATCTCATATAAGCTTTATCTTGTTCATGTCATTTTATTATTTTTAACTCTTTCATTTAAAGTATGCTTGTGATCCTGTCATGAAGGTGCTTGTTTAGGATGTCCCTGGTATAGGATGGCAACACCCTGTCCACAAAAATCACAACTATATTAGTTTTAGGTTAGAGTGAGGTCTCTGGAGGTAGTGAGAAATGTAATTGAGGCAAAAGGTTTCCTGGGGAAGAGTTCAATCAAGTAGTCAGCATATGGCCAGGTTTATTAGCAGATGCATGGTATTTTGTATGGACCATCTCAGCAGCTTCCCAGCCACAGCCATGGGAAAGAAGGTCCAGCTCTGAGGTGTATTTATTTTGTGTTCATTTTTTAGCAAGCAAGGGGTTTGACTTCCATAGTCTAAAAGATGTTTGCAATTTTGTTTCTGTTGTGATCTAGGGATAGGTAGCAGGTACAAAGCTCCGTGGGGTGAGCACACTTTCAGGCACAGATACCAGTCCAGTGAACTGACAATCAGTGCAGTTGTTTATTGGTGCTATTTACAAGTCTATTTACAGGTTCTGTACAGGGTTCCACAAACTAAACAAGGCAAAATCTCCAGAACAATATTTTAGCTATTGGCAGTACACTAGTGTCATTGGTTTGAATCCCAACCACAGCACCATCTGCCTGGAGTTTGCATGTTCTCCCTGTGCCTGCGTGGGTTTCCTCTCGGTACCCCGGTTTCCTCCCACACTCCAAGACATGCTGGTAGGTTAATTGGATCCTATCTAAATTGGCCCTAGTATGTGTATGAATGTAAGTTAGAGACCTTACATTGTATACCCCTTGAGGGTTAGGGACCAGGGGCGGACTGACCATTTGGAAACTTGGGCACTGCCCAAGGGCCTGGGGTCAGTAGGGGGCCCCATGAGATGCTCCTGGTACCTTTTTTCATAAGCTTTTTTTGAGTTTGGGCAGGACACAGGGGCCCCATGATCCCCTATTGCCCGGGGGCCCCATGAGTTGTCAGTCCACCCCTTGGTTAGGGACAGATGTGAATATACAATATATATGTAAAGCACTGCATAAATTGACAGCACTATATAAGTACCTGAAAAAAATAAATAATAAATGTCTGTCAGGGCTCTCAGGTGTGACCAGAGGTGTGTGACTGACGCAGGAAACGCAGACTTCAGATATGTGATAAACAATATAATTTATTAAACACTAACCATACAAACATAAACGCAGTGCAATACTAAAACATAATACAGTGCAAACAAACCAAAACCAACCACCCACAGATAAACAGTACATAACATACAAGCAAGCGTCGTCAGGCAGGCCGGGTCAATATCAATAGGGCAGGTAGGTACAGGGGGAGCAAGCGGAGATGGGTCGGGGTCACAGGCCAGGTTCAGCAGCTAGCTAGCAGCGTAGTACAGAGGGTCAGGCAGAGGGATGGTCAGGGTCACAAGCCAGGGATCAGAACAGGTAGCAAGCAGCGTGGTACAGAGGGTCAGGCAGAGGGATGGTCAGGGTCACAAGCCAGGGATCAGAGCAGGTAGCAAGCAGCATGGTACAGAGGGTCAGGCAGAGGGATGGTCAGGAGCGAGCCGGGATCAGAGCAGGAGAAGTCAGCAGCGGTTCAGATCAGGCAGGGTCAGCAAAGGAACAGGAAACAGGATGCAGGACAGATACAGGGCCCAGGACAAACACAACACCAGGCAGAGTCTGCAAGTCTGGCCATCCTTAAATACACCAGTATCATCAGTTCCAGGTGTTAGCTGGCTGAAAGGTTGAGTCTCTGATTGCTGGGAGCACCCGCTGGCCAGCCCTGGTACTGCAGATCAAAAGGCAGGTGAGTCCCACCATTGCTGGCCAGTCCCATTCCTGACAGTACCCCCCCCCCCCTCAAGGAGCAGCCTCAGGACGCTCCAAACAGTCCTAGCTGGGCAAAATGTTCCACCGCCAGGTCTGGTAACTGGCGGGATATCAAAGACTGGCACACCGGGCAGGGACTCCGGGCAGCGGAGGGCACACCGGGCTGGACTCCGGGCAGAGGCACATCGGGCTGGACTCCGGGCAGAGGCACATCGGGCTGGACTCCGGGCAGAGGGCACATGGGCTTGGGACTCGGGCAGAGGCACATCGGGCAGAGGCACAACCAAAACCGGCAGAGGCACATCGGGCAGAGGCACACGCGGGCAGAGGCACATCGGGGCAGAGGCACACCGGCCAGAGGCACATCGGGCAGGACTCCGGGCAGAGGCACATCGGGCAGGACTCCGGGCAGAGGCACATCGGGCAGGACTCCGGGCAGAGGCACATCGGGCAGGACTCCGGGCAGAGGCACATCGGATTACCAGGCGAAGCAGCAGGGGAGCCACCGGGCCACCAGGCGGAGCAGCGGGCACCGGGCCCCCCGCGCGGAGCAGCAGGCACCGGGCCCCCGGGCAGAGCAGGCGCCGGGCCCCCGGGCGGAGCAGCAGGCGCCGGGCCCCCTGGGCGGGGGCAGCAGGCGCCGGGCGGGACGACAGGCGCCGGGCCCCCGGCGGGGGCGACAGGCGCCCGGCCCCCAGGCGGGGCGACAGGCATCGGGCCCCAGGCGGAGCGGCGGGTGCCGAGCCCCCAGGCGCGGGCGGCGGGCGCCGGACCCCAGGCGGGGGGCGACAGGCATCGGGGCCCCCAGGCGGATCGGCGGCGGGCGCCGGACCCCAGGCGGGGCGACAGGCATCGGGCCCCCAGGCGGAGCGGCGGGCGCCGGACCCCCAGATGGAGCGACAGGTCTCGGGCCCTCAGGCGGAGAGGCGGGCGCCGGACCCCCAGGTGGAGCGACAGGTCTCGGGCCCTCAGGCGGAGCGGCGGGCGCCAGACCCCCCAGGTGGAGCGACAGGTCTCGGGCCCTCAGGCGGAGCGGCGGGCGCCGGACCCCCAGGTGGAGCGACAGGTCTCGGGCCCTCAGGCGGAGCGGCGGGCGCCGGACCCCCAGGCGGGGCAAACCGGCATCGGGCCCCCAGGCGGGGCGGCGGGCGCCGGACCCCCAGGTGGAGCGACAGGTCTCGGGCCCTCAGGCGGAGCGACAGGTCTCAGGCCCCAGGCGGGGCGGCGGGCGCCGGACCCCCAGGCGGAGCGGCGGGCGCCGGACCCCCAGGCGGAGAGCGACAGGTCTCGGGCCCCCAGGCGAAGCGGCGGGCACCGAGTCACCAGGCACGACAGTGGGCTCCGAGTCAACTGGCATGACCGCTGGCACTGGGTCAGACATTGGATCGTCTGGCTGGACAGCGGGCATCGGGTCACCAGGCATCAGGTCATTTGGCTCGACAGCGGGCACCGCGTCATCTGGCAAGGCAGTGGGCTCCGAGTCAACTGGTATGACGCGAGCACTGGGTCAGACATTGGATCGTCTGACTGGACAGCGGGCATCGGGTCACCAGGCATCAAGTCATTTGGCTCAACAGCAAGCAGCACCGCGTCATCTGGCAAGGCAGTGGGCTCCGAGTCAAACTGGTATGACCGCGGGCTCTGGGTCAGACATTGGATCGTCTGACTGGACAGCGGGCATCGGGTCACCAGGCATCAGGTCATTTGGCTCGACAGCGGGCACCGCGTCATCTGGCAAGGCAGTGGGCTCCGAGTCAACAGGCACGACAGTGGGCACCGGGTCATCAGGTACCGGATTGTCTGGCTTGACAGCGGGCACCGGGGTCACCAGGCATTGGATCGTCTGGCTCGACAGCGGGGCATCGGGTCACCAGGTATGACAACGGGCCCTGGGTCACCAGGCATCAGGTCATTTGGCTCGCCAGCGGGCACCGCGTCATCTGGCAAGGCAGTGGGCACCGAGTCACCAGGTACGACAGCGGGCTCTGAGTCAATTGGCACGATAGCGGGCACCGGATCAGGTACCGGATCATCTGGATCAACAGCGGGCATCGAGTCAACTAGCCTAATAGGATCGTCAGGCTGGATCAGTTCATCATGCTGGGTAGAGGCATCAGGCTGAATGCCGGCGTCCGGCTGAGTAGAGGCTTCAGGCCCCGAGTAGAGGCTTCAGGCCGAGTAGAGGCTCCAGGCCGAGTACAGGCATCAGCAGAAGAGAGGCATCAGGCAGAAGAGAGGGATCAGGCAGAAGAGAGGCATCAGGCAGAAGAGAGGCATCAGGCTGAGTACAGGCATCAGGCTGAGTAGAGGATTCAGGCTGAGTAGAGGATTCAGGCTGAACCACGGAAGGCAGGTTCCGGTTTGGATACTGGCAGGATGGTATTGGTTGGAAAGAATTTTCGCTTTTTTCCGGGTTTTAACTACTGGAGCACTGCAAGTAAACGCAGGTCTGCAAACGAATGGAGCAGCTGGAGACAGAAGAAGAACTGGAGGATGGAACAGGAGAGGGAGCAGTTGCTACAGAGGGCTCTTTTACAGGTTAAAGGCAGGATAGGTGCAGCGAGTGGGAACAGGGTACTGACATGCGGTAGACAGCCAGTATATACTGTGGGCTGTAACTGGGGGAGTTGTTGGGAATACAGGAGTAGAGCTTTGAGGAAATAGATTAGAAGCAGGACTGGGTCTTTGTAAGCTGACTGAGGCTGGGTGCAACAAGTCTGTCCATGTCTGCAGTATGGGTTGAACAAAGCTGAGCTTAAACAAAGCCTGTCTGACCAAAGACTGCACTGCGTTTATACAATCTCTTAGTACCTGTGGTGAACATGTGGAATAACGCTCCAGAAAGTAACCCACATCATCCTCTAATAAACACCACACCAGGGACTTACCTGGTCTGCACTAAATGGTGGCAAAAAATTCATCCCTGCATTCAGGGGTACCAGATGAAACCAACTCAACACAAACCTTAATCAATGGCTGCACCATAGAGAAATCTGTGCCCTGATCTACTAGAAACATGAGCGAGCCGTATACATTCTAGCAGTTCATCCGGGTATTACTCCTTCAGAGTCTGATAAGCATACTCTCTGTCATCAAGCACTAGCAGAGATAAATACTCAACCTCATCAAGATCCATCCTTCCCAGCAACAAGCCAAGATGGCTTCCCTGTGCAGCCACTTCTGGTCAGGATTGGCCTTGGTGTAATGTCAGGGCTCCCAGGTGTGACCAGAGGTGTGTGACTGACGCAGGGAAATGCAGACTTCAGATATGTGATAAACAATATAATTTATTAACACTAACCATACAAACATAAACGCAGTGCAATACTAAAACATAATACAGTGCAAACAAACCAAACCAACCACCCACAGATAACAGTACATACAAGCAAGCGTCGTCAGGCAGGCCGGGTCAATATCAATAGGGCAGGTAGGTACAGGGGGAGCAAGCGGAGATGGGTCGGGGTCACAGGCCAGGTTCAGCAGGTAGCTAGCAGCGTTAGTACAGAGGGTCAGGCAGAGGGATGGTCAGGGTCACAAGCCAGGGATCAGAGCAGGTAGCAAGCAGCGTGGTACAGAGGGTCAGGCAGAGGGGATGGTCAGGAGCGAGCCGGTATCAGAGCAGGAGAAGTCAGCAGCGGTTCAGATCAGGCAGGGTCAGCAAAGGAACAGAAAACAGGATGCAGGACAGATACAGGGCCCAGGACAAACACAACACCAAGGCAGAGTCTGCAAGTCTGGCCATCCCTTAAATACACCAGTATCATCAGTTCCAGGTGTTAGCTGGCTGAAAGGTTGAGTCTCTGATTGCTGGGAGCACCCGCTGGCCAGCCCTGGTACTGCAGATCAAAAGGCAGGTGAGTCCCCACATTGCTGGCCAGTCCATTCCTGACAATGTCCTGGCACTAAATACACAACATCCACATCCTAATTAGCAGACTGAACAAGTCTAATGCTTGTCAGTCTCCGCATACAATTTTACAGCTTCCACCAACCTTGCAGCTCTCACAGACACAACTTGTCTGTTCCCCAGGCTCAAGAGCACTGACCCTGACTACCAGGTGATCCTATATTACCAAAAAGAGAGAGGTGCAAAAACTGAACTGGACAGAGAATCAGAGGTCTCTAAAAGTGTACGAGAGAAGCCTGGGAGATGTGTAAACAACGAACAGGACTTTTCCCGGTTCTCTTTAAGACATTCTGCTACACTGTCTTCACTCAACTTCTTGTGGCAAGGGGAAATTTAATCAAATGGCCTTGATGAGATCTGTATTGGATCATTTACAACATATATAATAGATGATGATCTAGCAATGCATATACAGTATGTATGTAATTTAATATGTTTGCTTTTTCATAAGTAATATCTTTATCACTTGCTTGCATTTGCTTCGTTGAAAAAGTAGACTTTGTTCTAAGAAACGGGTTGGATGTAAAGCAGCATATGCAAAGATTTTATGTGATTATATCATACAACAATGATGTTGCTATGGATCTTTTCATGGTTTAACCAAGAAAATCTCTAAATGTTATAAAACCCTGTTTTATATGGAAACAATAAAATTTAGAGTGTTTTTATGCGTTAAGCCTAGCACATACAATCAGAAAATTGTACGAAAAATGCCACTTTCGAAGCAATTGTACGATAATATGATTGTTAGTATACAGCTTTCGTCCGAAATTGATCGAAGGGACAAGCTTGAAAATTTTTCACATACGATACTAGATCATATGATTTTTGTTTAATCAGTAGTTTTCATCCAAAAATACAATACAAATACATTACATCACTTCTTAATTTTCTTTCTGTCCTACAAGAATTTTCGTAACTTTAGTAACCTCTTCATTTTTGATATGAGACTAGCATGCAAAAAAAGAAGGACGATCATTCATCCAATGTTCTCATCGTGTGTATGGGGCTTAAGTATTCACATATCACAAATCCCTCTGCTCTATATGGAATTCTAATTTTTATAAAATGCTCTTGCATTGTCACCCTGCCACATGTTCTCCAAATGAAAAAATGGCGGCAAAGGCAAAATATATTTTTAGCTCTGGATAGAGGTGGGTAGGGTTAGACCCTCTGTCAAGTGTTTATTGCTGTCCATATCTTCGCTGGGAGATTTACCTATCCCTTATTTTTTTAGTGACCACTATTACTGTGACAGAGAGTAAGGTAAAAGTCCTTTTTCTATCCCAAACAAAAAAAAAAACTGGGGTTTACATACACTTTAACACAGACCTGGCACAAGAATGCAGGGTCCCCTCCCTCTTTCTCACTGTATGATAGTAGTACTAAAAATGTACTTAGAATATATACTTACCCTGGCTTCTCACTTTGACACTTAGATGATTATTATCATTAGTATACAGAATTTATATAGCGCCAACAGATTGTGCAGCTCTTTACAAATGAAGGTAGACATTACAGTTACAATACAAATTGGTACAAGAAGAAACAGAGGGCCCTGCTCATTAGAGCTTACAATCTAGGAGGGAGGATTGAGTGATATAAAAGGTAATGGCTGTGGGGGATGAGCTGATGGAGGAAGTAAAACGCAGTTTACTAGTTAGAATCAGGATAGGCTTCTTTAAAGAGAAGGTGTCACGATCGCAAGATCTAAAATGTCACGATCGTGGCGTCAGACCCCAGGCCTTCCCACCAAACTCGTGACCAGAGGACTAGCCAATCTAAAACCACGATGTGACGTGCGTAACAATGCCACGCCCAGCTGCACTCTGCACAATGATTTTCCAGCTAACGGACCACAATCGATGTACTGCCAGCCTGTGCGATTGTGTGTTAGTGGGTCGGGTTAATTACACAACTAACCCTCCACACTGCCACCACCTCCTTTTTGTACAGAGAAAGAGGAAACTCGCATTATCAGTTATAACACTATAATGATTGAAATAATCATCTGTATAAAACAGTCATAACACAGGCCTGTTATACAGAGGGTTAAACAAACAGTAGCGTTCTCTTTAGAGGCAGGGATTCGTAAATTGCATTACAGAGCTTTAGAAACAGTTCAACACTTTCAGAAAGAAAGATTTATTATTAAAAGGTCAAATGGGTGCAATAAAAATATTTACAGAAAAAAGATGTAACTAAGATATATATACAGAGAATAACAGCACAGCACAGAGATATCAGAGAGAGGTTAAAGGGTTAAGGTACTTGCCATTAAGCCTTGAATGTAAGCAGATCAAGTTTCTGAGCAGAAGGGGCACGGCGCGGGTCTCCCCCAGTTGGTATTGATGTTAAAATGGGAGATGTCTTCAACTCAACTTTCTTAGGCCTGACAGCCTCTTTTTGTGTTCCCCAGCAGGGGATGGTTCTGAAGTCAAGGACCAATCCCCTGTTTAGGGAGGAATCGTCAGCCCTAAACTAGAGCCAACATCTTTCGTAACTCATATTCTGGTCCATAACTTTCCATCTGCACAAGCGACAGTCCCACCCGGGGTATATTATTATGCAGACAAGTCTGAGGATTATTTAGATATGAATTATGAAATTATATATACTGCGCGGTTCATGAGTTCTATGTTTCGGCTTCCCTGATGGTCCGAGACAAAGCAAGTGACCCATCAAACTGTTCGCCTGCTCATTGGCCATCTGACAAGGTGTCCAGTTTTTATGTAAGTCTTTCATATTCCAAGATATGAGACATAGGGGAAATATGGTTCTTTTTAAAAATGTTATCTGGTGTGTGCTTTTAGGGAATGCCTTGAACTCCTGGGAAGGCTCCTTTATCTTTTTACGAGGTGTGAAATTACACAGGTACTTTGGACAGTGAGGCTCCAACTCTCTTGGGAAAGCTGGCCTTTTCTCTTCCTAGGTGGGAAAGGATACAGCTTTCACAGACAGCTCGGCACCTAGCTCAGAGATGCCTTGGCCGGCCAGTGACCCATAACCAGCACACACACACACTGGCCAAATGTCTCCTCTCAGTGAGAGGGAGGGGTAGGGGAAGGATAAGGGAAAAATGGCTACTCTTAGCAAGATAGAGTCTGCGTACTTCACTGTGTGTTGCGCATGTTTGCGACAGAAGGGTTTTCAGGGATCATCTAAAGGTGGATAGATTAGGAGATAGCTGGACAGATTGGGGTAGGGAGTTCCACAGGATGGGAGCTCAGGAGCAGTCCTGGAGGTGAGCATGGGAGGAGGTGACACAGGAACTAGAGAGCAGAAGGTCTTGGGAGGATCGAAGAGAGCGGTTTGGTTGATATTTTGAGACCAGGTCGGTGATGTAGCTGGGGGCAGAGTTGTGGAT